CCTCTCAGGCACTACAGCCCCATTCCTCTCCCAAATCTGTGGAGAGAACCTAGGAGTCTTGATACACAGGGCCCCTGCTGTAACCCACCAGACCCCTCCCCAGAGCCAACCAGGGATAGGACCCAGGAGTCCTGACTCCTGACTGTCCAGCTGTTCCCATCCGCCTGCCAGGGGGTACTCACTGGGCACCTATGTGGAGGATCCCAGCTTTTCCCAGTCCCTCTGGCTGGCACTTACCTGCGCACAGGTAGAGGAGCAGAGGCAGGTCCATCCTTTGCTGGGTGAGGGGTGTGTGTGGAGCGGGGAGTGAGAGGTTCAAGGATGCTGCCTGGGTGCAGAGGAAAGAGAAGTGATACCGAAAAGAGAGAAACACTGACCAGAGGAAGGAGAGTGTGTTACGAGGAGGCGGCAGAAAGAAAGCGACAGTGAGACAGACACACAACTAGTCAGACACACGCTAGCAGTGCCTGCTCTCAGCCCCTCCACAAATGCTGTCAGAGACTAACTGAAGTGCAGCACCCGTGTCTTTTTATTGTTTGTGTCTGTTCTCACCACCTATTATTTACAGATATTTACAGAGACCAACACTCTGGGCGACTACTAACTTCCCAGCCAGCAGGGATCTAGAGCCCACACTCCTCCCTTTCCTGTCTCCCCCTGCTTCCCATCTCTTAGCCAGCTTTATAAGGCAGGCTGGCTACTCAGGCCTGCAACTGGATCCACTCTGGTAATTAGGGTGTGGCCCCTCCGCCAGCCCAACCAATACCCTTCTTCCTCTGGAACAGCGCTAACAGGGGCCTGGCTTGTTTCTCCTAGGCAGCACCCTATTACACACACACACACACACACTACACCACACCACACCACACCACACCAAGAGACAAAAAACACACACAAAAACACAGACCAACCAACATACCTACACTGAAACACACACACAACTACACAGATGCACACAACTACACTGAGATATACACACACATCTCTATATTGAGTGAGAGAGACGCACACACAAGGCAAACATACACACACACACAGAGGCACGCAACTAACAGACACAAAAACACTAGATACACAGAGACAACTAGACAGAGAAATACCCCTACACTGAGAGAGAGACACACAACTACACAGAGATAGACAGACACATGCACAATTAGACAGAGACACACAACGGTAGTGAGACACACACACACAGCTAAACACACAGACACATATACACAACTACACTGAGCCAGAGCTAGACACACAACAATACTGAGACACACAAATCACACACACAAAACACTGTCACCCAAAAACATGCACAGTTAGACACCATCATAATCGTACACACAATATGACAGAAACAACCAGACACAGATAGTCACAACCACACACACTCCTGCACTGACACAACCACACACACTTTTCTTACACCCAGTGACGACCACTGGACAAACATTCCCTCCCAGCCATTCCTGAAGAAGCAAACCCTTCTGGGCCAGTGCCTCCCCTTTGGCTGTGTGAGCCGCTCGGTGTGAGAAAGCCAGAGGGCTCCCACCTGATCTGCACCAGTGGGGAGCTCGTACCTGAGCCCCTTGGCAGCTGCACCCTGTTGCAACTCACAGGAGTGGAGTAGGGCTCTGCTAGGTCATGGCCATGATGGAGGAAACTCGGGGGGGGCAGGGTGGGTTTCAACAGCACACTGGGTTTCACTTCTTCTAAGTTGCGTTGTTGGGTGACGGCTAACCAGCCCCTGTGGTCCACTCTCCCAGTGGCTGCATCTCAGCGCCGGTCAAGTGATCACTGTATAAACAGTCCCCGCGCCCCATCCCAGATGTGGTTGATTCCCATTCACTCTGCGGTCCAGAGGAACATAGACCCATAGGGTTAGCAGGGACCACAACGGCCATCTAGTCTAACCCCCCTGTCAAGATGCAAGATTTGTTGTGTCTAAACCATCTAGGACAGATGGCTGTTCAGCCTCCTTTTGAAAAACTCCAGTGAAGGAGCTCCCATGGCCTCCCGAGGCAGGGCTATTCCATTGTCCCACTGTTCTTACAGTTAGGAAGTTTTTCCTGAGATTTAATCTAAACCTACTGTGCTGTAGTTTGAACCCATTGCCTCTTGTCTTGCCCTCTGTGGCAAGAGAGAACAACTTTTCTCCATATTTTTTATGGCAGCCTTTCAAGTATTTGAAGACTGTCATCATGTCCGCCCTTAATCTCCTCTTCTCCAAGCTTAAACATACCCAGTTCCTTCAGCCTTTGCTCATATAACTTGCATTGCACCCCTTATATCATCTTTCTTGCTAGTCTCTGGATCCTTTCCAGTTTCTCTGTAACCATTCTATACAGCAGTGACCAATATTGGACGCAGTTCTCCAGCTGAGGCCTAACCAGCGCTGAGTAGAGTGGTACTATCACTGCCCGTGACTTGCATGCTATGCCACTATTAATGCAACCTCAAATAGCATTTGCTTTTTTTGCAACAGCATCACATTGCCGACTCATGTTGAGGTTGTGATCCACCGCAACTCCCAGATCCTTCTCAGCAGTGCTGCTGCCAAGCCAGTTACCCCCATTCTGTATTTGTGCATTTGGCTTTTTTTTCCTATGTGTAGCACCTTATATTTGTCTTTGTTGAATTTCATTTGGTTGTCTATAGCCCAGTTCTCCAATTTATCAAGATCCCTCTGAATTTTAGCTCTACCCTTCGAAGTATTGGCATCTTCCGACCCCAAGCTTTGTATCATCTGCAGACTTGATCAGTAAGCTCTCTATTCGTACTTCCAGGTCATTAATAAAGATGTTAAACAACACCGGGTCCAGAACAGATCCTTGTGGAACCCCACTTGAGACCTCCCTCCAATCTGACATCATTCCATTAATAGCTACTCTTTGTTTGTAGTTGTTTAACCAATTTTGTATCCATTTAATGGTAGTTCCGCCGAGCCTGCGTTTCTCCAGCTTACTTATGAGAATGTCATGTGGGACTGTGTCAAAGCCTTGCTGAAATCCAAATATATTAGGTCTACCACATTCCCCCTATCCACCAAATCAGCTACCCTATCAAAGAAGGAAATCAAGCTGGTTTGGCATGATTTGTGCTTGGTAACTCCATGCTGGCTGCTATCGATTACCCCTTCATCCTCCAGGTATTCGTAAATTGAATGTTTTATACGTTATATATGTTGCTCTAGTACCTGCCCAGGTATCGAAGTTAGGCTGACTGGTCTATGGTTTCCCAGCTCCTCCCTTTTCCCCTCTTTAAGGATGGGCTCCACATTAGCCCTTCCCAAGTCTTCCAGGACCTCTCCTGTCATCCATGAATTTGTAAATATTATTGCTAGTAGCACTGAGGTTTCTTCAGCTAATTCCTTCAGCAGAATTGCCAACTCTCATGACTTTGTCATGAGGTTCATGATAATTATTGCTTTCCTTATAGCCCCAGCTCCTGGAGTCAAGTGGAGATGTGATGATTTCAGCCTTCATTCTTAACAAAAAAATTATGTTTCTAGCCCTTGTGGCTGTGGAGAAAGCTTCAAAATGTGACCCCAGTGCAGCCAAAAGGCTCAAAATGCAGAAGGCAAATAAAAAGAACTCCAAATTTCCTGTTTTTAGCTAATCTCATGATTTTAAAAAACAATCTCATGATTTTTCGTGAGCCTGCCTCATGATTTTTGAACAGTTGGGGTTGGCAATATCGCTTCAGTACCCTCCAGTACCCTCCAGTACAAACCAGCATCCGGCTCTGCTGATTTGAATTCATTGCCTTCTTATCGTCTTCCGTTACCAGCTCAGCTTCTCCACTGAGCAGTGGACCCCCACCGTCTTTGAACTTTCTTTTTTGTCTGACATATTTTGTCTGAACATGCAGAAATGGAAAGAAAAACACGGAGGGGGGTTGGTCATTTCAGAAAAATGTGGAACTAGTGAGGCAACCTGACTTCTAATTTCCCCAATTCTTATCGCGTACCAGAACGTGGCATCTGATCGCACGACAGAAGGGGAAATGGCAAAACCACACGGAGAGCCAGGACACGGTTCCCCATTTAAAAATAGACAGCGGGATCCTCGTTCATCTCCTTGTGCCTTCAAACCTGCAGAACAAAGACACGCTTTCCAGGCTGAGCATTTACACAGCGATCCCTTGCCCAGCACAGAGATGTAGCCGCCTCCGGGTGGGGCACAGAGTGTGATATTCTTTACAGGACACCCACAACTGTGCGCCACTGTGGCACCCCTCTGTCTTAGAAGGAGTGAGCTTTACTGGAGATTAGACTGGTTGGCAGCTCCCTGCCACCTGTCTGTCCATCTCTCCAGACAACTCCTCAAAGCTCTGCCAGTGTTTACCTTGTCTTGCAAGTAACGGTCAGCGGCTCCAGTTCCCGAGTTCCCCAGAGACGTTTCTCTGCAGTGTCCGGTCCCTCTCCCTGGACACTCACAGACATTTTTCTTTGCTGCCTCCGAAGAGACAGAGTGCACACACTAGCCTGTTAGCTTAGTTGAGGACTCTCTTCATACGTCAATACAACAGCACAGAGATGGTTTATAGTAAAACTAAGTTATTTTACAAAGAACAGAGATTTAAGTGATACTAAGCAAGAGAAAAAGGGACAGGTCTGGCTACGAACCAAACACACTTTCAAGGACCTAAAACTTAATCTTAGTGAGTTACAATCTTTGCTTGAGTTTTCTCACTTATGCCCAGTTACCAGCATCTCTAGCTCTTCCCAGTCCCAGCGGTCACAGAATCAGAGGATGCTCTCCGCAATGTGCTGGAAACGAGAATGTCTTTTGGGTCCCCTTATACTTCCCCAAAGCCCATTGTCTCTGCCTCCAGAGCCAGGAAGATTCCCAGGAGTGCCAGACTCTGTCCTGTGGTGAGCTCACTAAGCTCTTCCCTCCATACCTTACATGACACTGTGAAGGTCCATATTATGACAGTGTGTTGGGGGCAGGGAGTGCATCAGGCCTGGTATGAGTTACAGTATGAGGTCCTCTGCTAGGTGGCACCGAAGGCCTCCCAGGGTCACCCGTCCTCTCTTGCAAGCAGGGGCGGCTTTAGCTATTCTGTCGCCCCAAGCATGGCAGGCAGGCTGCCTTTGGCGGCTTGCCTGCGGGAGGTCCCCGGTCCCGCGGATTCGGTAGCATGCCTGCGGGAGGTCCTTCGGTGTACCTGCCGCCAAATTGCCACGGAAGCCGCGGGACCGGTGGACCTCCCTCAGGCATGCTGCCAAAGGCAGCCTGACTGACGCCCTCGCAGGGACTGGCAGGGCGCCCTGCACGGCTTGCCGCCCCAGACACACGCTTGGGGCGCTGGTGCCTGGAGCCGCCGCTGCTTGCAAGGCTGCAGAGGGTCAGCCACTGGCTGATCTGTAGGCATTGGCTCAGAACCCTCATTCCAGGACAGGGCATCTGCTACTATATTTTCCTTAATAGGTGCAATTTACATGACATATTCTTTGCGCGTCAGGTGTGGTAAGATGAGGCCCTGAGGCCTGGTATGAGACATGAGGCCTGAACTAAAAGTAATGCTCAAGACTTTGCTAACATAAAAAGTAAAGTTAAGCTGTGAGCCAGAGGCAGGTCCTGCTCCCAGAAGTTGGCTGCTAATTGCACGTACACACATAAAGCACTAATAAGATGAACGTGTGCCAGGATGGCACCAGAACATCCCGGTACGAACAAATCCCACG